AACTTATTTATTCATTTGATCGGGAAAAAAACATACCACTTTAATTTGATTCTGGATCTCATAGATACTTTAATCCATATCTATTTATATGAAATTGCTCACTCAAATAAAGATCTATATATGTTGTTTTAATTTATTTGAAAAATTACAAAGCTTGAATTATAAATATATCCCTTGTGATTTATTTAAAACGCACTTCCATATCTATTTATATGAAATTGCTCACTCAAATAAAGATCTATGTTGTTTTAATTTATTTGGAAAATTACAAAGCCTGAATTATAAATGTATCCCTTGTGATTTATTAAAAATACACATTCTTTCTTTACATTTGAGAAATTATATTTCACTTTTTGAGATTTTTAATCACATAACAAATAGCTAATTTTGTTAATCAGCCGTTAAATCAAGCTAACAGAATGTATGATACAAGTAACAAATTTTTTTTTTTCAAAAGTACATATGTTAATATTTATGAAGTTAAACACTTTATTTTGTTTTTCTTTTTCTATCTCACCTTTCTTATTCCGTCATTTTCTTTCAACTAATAATACCACTTTACCCAATCATCACACCACCACCCTTCCCCGCTGTTGATCAATGTCACAGTCATTATTATTTACAAACATTTTGTGTGTTGATGATGAGAATTAGAAAATATTATGGTTATATATATACATACACATATATATAGAGAGAGAGAGAGATATTTGGTAGTCAATAGATGCATATAAGGGTAATAAAATGATTTCATCTTAGTAGTAGAGGATATTCAGGTAAAAAATAATGTTGCAGAAAAAATATTTGTAATTTTGAAATCAAAAGCTTGTGCTGATGGTTTTTATTTTTAAGAATGTTGTCAAATCATTCCTGTAAGAAATTCTATAAAAAATTGTGTTTTGTAAATCATTTTTCTTTTGATGTTAAGAAGCATTTTAATAGACTTTTAATTGAAGTGACTGGTTCATAATTTTACCCATAATTTTATTTATATAATTTTTGTAGAGTAAATTTTGTTATCAACTTCTACGTTTTACATTCAATCTCACTTTATATCTAACCCTTAAGTTTTTTAGTCAACTTCATAAACTTTGAGTCCAATTGCAATTTGACCCATTTGTATAAGAATAAGGTTTCTCAATAGGCCACTTTATGAATTATTAGATTAGTGGGACCCATCATAAGTTCTATTTTTATAATTTGAATCGTTCAATATATAGAGCTCGTTAAGTACTTCATCCCTACAAAAATAAATAAATAAATAAAAATCACGTTGATTGGATATCAATAACCTTTTATTTTTTTAATTTTTTTTATTTTATCAAATCAATAGCCTATTGATTAGATCATATTTTTGTCAATAGTAAATATGATTTAAAAATAAATTATTGACAAAAATATATTTTGATCAAGTGCCTGTTAAAACAAATTATAGATTGTAACTTAATGGATCATAGATTATGACTTTAATCAGAAGCTCTTAATCTGTTTGGTGTAACTGTTGGATTATAGATTTAAGTTGCTGAGTAGTATTTGTTAAATAAGTTGTGAAATAACTTTTTGAATTAACTTTAATTTTTTGTTATTTACTACTTGTCTACATTTCTTATAAAAATATTGATAATAATCCATAGTCTATTTGGCTCTTTTTCTATTTTTAAAAAAATAAAAAATCAAAAAATATAACATTAAATTAACATGTCCACAGCAGAAGATAATAATCAGAAGTAAGGAGTGAACAGCTTCTCAGAATCGACTTTTTTGAGTTAAAATAAGTTACTAGAATCATAAACCGTTTGAAATAAGTTTAACCAAACAATCCAAAATAACTTTTCCAAAATTAAAATTTATAAGTTGGCCAAAATAAACCACACCAAACACTCCCACAGTGGACTGAAAAAAATCTACACCCACTGTATAATGTCATTTCAAAACTAATGGAGAACAACCATGTGATAATATTAAGGGTTAATTAATACCAAAAAAAAAAAATCCCCAAGGTTCCATGCATTTTTTACTTTAAACCCTAGTTTTCAATTTTAACAAATCAAATCTTAGAGTTTCATCCATATTTCAATTTGCCCCATCCGTTCATCTTTGTTTAAAAAAGGTAACGGAAGAGGTTTAAAGTGAAAAATATGTGAAATCTTTAGTTTATTTTGTAATTAATCCTTTTTATTTTTAGTGATTTTAATTTTAAAATTACATAAAAAATTCAAGATTTCACACATTTTTCACTTTAAATTCTAGTATTTTCACTTTAAACCCCTTCTGTTATCCTACACAAATAGAGATAAATAGAGTGGACAAATTAAAACACGAATGAAACTCTAGGGTTTAATTTGTCAAAATTGAAATATTGAGATTTAAAGTGAAAAATTCGTGAAATTTTGGGAGTTTTTTTTTGGATAATTAACCCTAATATTAATTACACTTAACATATTTATAGTTTTATTAAAATCTCACTTTAGTTTTTAACACTTTTGTACGTCTATTAAAATTCATTTTAATCCTGTCAATTTTCGAAACGCCGTTAAATGACTAGACCAATCATAATTTGACTTAAAATTTAGAGCATTGACTGAAACAATCAAAATATAAAATTAAGTGTGTAACATATAAGAGTTCAAAGAATATCTCGCCCTATTTCAATTTTTTCTTTTTCTTTTTTTTTTTTTTTTAACATATATCATTACTCGTATAGAGACATAGGTATAGTGCAGGTATGAGGTGGAAATGAATGGAGCACGGGGGCTTCGTGCACTGTCCAGCTTTCCACAGCCTCATTGAAATGCAATTATTATTACTTGGCAAAAATTTCATAAATAATCACCAAAAGCTCTCCTACTTGGAAGATGAGTAGCATATTTTAAAACTACCATTCAAATGAGCATTCCCCTTTACACTTTTTTTACAGAAGGATAAGGGCCTTTTGACCGTCAGCTGTAAAAGTATACAATTTTTGCATCAAAATTACATTAGAGTTAATTATATATGTTGTGGGAAAAAATTAATTTACAAATATTAAATTGTTTCCTAGTATATAATTATGTCATGATAAAAAAAGAAAAAAAGAAAAAAAAAAAGCTACATTGTTGACTATTAATGTTGTTTCCTACATCCTAATCTATGCATTGTAGATTGATATCTTCCATCACATCATTCAAAAATTGTAAAATTATGTTTGGTTTGAGTTTTCTGAATTAAATTTTTTGAAAATTGAGTTTTTTAATTTCGTATTTTTTTTTGTTTTTAGTGAATATTTTTAAAATTTTAAATATTTTTTTAAATGTACCTTACTTAGATGTATCTTAAAAGAAAAAAAATGTGAAAAAATATTTTTAAAAATTAAGAAATACATAAAAATACAAAAAATATACTGAATTCTTGTATTTTTTTTGTATTTTTGATATTTAATGAATTTTTAAAAGATTTTTTTTACAATTCTTTTACTTTTTAGGTGTGTTTATGTTAGGTGTGTCTAAAAAGTAAAAAATTTACATAAAATAGTAAAAAAATTCAGTAAAAACAAAAAAACACGAAAAATAAGAAAGTAGAATTTTCTGAACACTGTTTTTAGAAAAATGGAACCAAACATTTTGTGAGTCATTGAATATCTAACAAAGATATTCCATGACAATTATAAAATAGGAGAAAAGTTAGGAATCGTGAAAATGATCATGAAAAATTTATGATTTTTGGATTACCTTAATTAGTATGTGGTATTTTATTCTAAGTGTAATATAAAGGTCACAAAACTTTTATGATTATTTTTATGAAAAAAATTTCATGACACCTAACATTACTGATAAAATCGAGACGATTAAGTTCTGTGGATGGAGGAAATGTCCACCCAACCAGCTTGACCTACTCATCATCTATTCATTCTCAACTTAGTTTGGCTATTAGTTCAAAAATAAAAATAAAAACTTAGTTTGGCTATTACACACACTAAACGGATCAAGAAATTGACACTAATTTTTTAAGACAAAAAGTTAAAAAAAAAAAAAAAAAAAAAAAAAAAACAATCCGAAACAGCCAACGCCACTAACAATTTTTTGTGCATTGTGCAAGTAGTCCATCTGCGAAAATCGCATCAACATATGTAATAAGAGACTATGAATATAACAGAAGCATCATGTGGTCATGGCATTTTCAAAAATATAAATCATATTGTTTTAAAATGACAGGACTCAAGTCATCCACATCATTCTCGTCAAAAAAATTAGGGGTAATTTTAAATCAGAAAATGTTTGAAAAAATATCTTTAAAATTGTGATAAATTTTACAAATATTAAAAAGTAAAAAGACAAAACTTTTTCATGAAATTGTAAATAATTTTTGAAGAAACCTCTGGGATGTAATTTCACCAAAAAATTAAGACCTTAAAAAAAATTATAATTTTTCCACAATAACATAACATGTAACATGTTAACTTTAAATTTGTTCATCATTTAAGGCACAACTACTTTTAACGGACGAGAAAAAATAAATAAATAAAATTTAAGTGTGGGACAAAACTGATCCACATTTGTTAAGGAGACAAGAGATAACCCACCATTTTATTCCATTCATTCTCATCCCAACAAATCAAATTAACGGGTGATACACACGAATCATGTAAAATTCAAATAAATAATAATAAAATTGATATTTTAATGTGTATTTAACTTAAGTTGTATGAATTCTTTTATTTTAAACTCATAGCCATGGATTCAAGTCTTGCCTATTTTTTTGTGTAATTTTTTTTAAAAATAATAAAACAAAATAAGATACTGTCACGTGATATGAAGGGAGTAAGGCTTCACTATACCAACTAATACATTTACTTAATAATAATATAGAAGATAGATAAAACATAAGTAATAAATAATGGCGTATCATATGGAAGCTGCTTAGAATTAACAAAGGACTTGTGTCAATTATTTTTGAGTTCCTTCCATTAGCAAAAGTTACACTTTGTAATTTTCTTAATATTAATACCCACAAAGTCTGTATATATAAATAAAGCCTGATGAGAAAGCAAAACAAGCTCATACACACACATACATGTTCTTCTTCCCCAACCATAATGGCAACCATAGCCCGAGACGAGTCCGACTATGACAGCAGCTGTTCTTCCTTAACCGTGCCAGACTCCAGCCGGAGCTGGATGAGCAACCTCAGCTTCGGCAGCCGCCGGAGCTCCATCTCCTGCGACTCCTCCTCCTCCACCTATTCTTCTCACTCTCACAAGCCACACAAGGCAAACCAAGCCGCCTGGGAAGCCATGAGGCGGCTTCAGAGTGAGAAAGGCCGAGCCGGGCTCGACCACTTCCGGCTCCTCCGCCGCCTCGGCAGCGGTGATATCGGAAATGTTTATCTCTGTCAGATTCGGAACCCGGTGGTGGGTCTTCCTCAGAGCTTGTATGCTATGAAGGTGGTGGATAGAGAAGCTCTAGCTATAAGAAAGAAGTTGCAGAGAGCTGAAATGGAGAAGGAGATTCTGGGTATGCTTGATCATCCATTTTTGCCTACTCTGTATGCAGAGTTTGATGCTTCTCATTACTCTTGCTTGGTTATGGAGTTTTGCTCCGGCGGTGACCTGCTCGCCGCTCGGCAACGACAGCCGACTAAACGCTTTAGCATTTCTTCTGCCAAGTAAGTTTGTTAATTTTTGTGTTTGTTTACTTTGTTTTTTACTTTTTAATTAATGAACTTACAAGTTAAACAGTTAAAAGTAAGAGTTTGTCCCATGAATGAACAGCTTGCTTTTGTATCGGGCGTGATATCTGGATTCAACGTCGAGAAGAATCTAATATCACCTAATATCACGCTTGATTCAACTTTTAGAGTTGTAATGTTTCAATTTGAGTATGATCTCTTTGTCCCATACCGTATTCTCCTGCACGTACTCTACTTTTGGTTAAAAAAAATATATTAAAAAATAGTAATTCTTGTACCATGAATTTTATTTAAAAAAATATATGCTTCATACTTAATTCTTATATGGTCAAATTCATGTCTATAATGAATTTACACTTCATATTTGAATTAATCTCGTGGAAATAATCTCTCCGCTTGCGGGGTAAGGCTGCATATATCAATCATTCTCCAAACTCTTCTTAAGTGGGAGTTTCGTGTACTGAGTACATCCTTTATTTAGAATTAATCTAGACCAAACACTATTTTTTGTGATTAAAATTTTGTGTAACAATTTATTCTGAGTTACGATATAAAAAAATTAAAAAATAAAACTAGTAATCAAATTTAGTAGCATAGTTTGTTTGTTGTTTATATGGTTTGCTTTTGATTTATACAATTGAAGACTACTAATTGATGGGTATTGTCTACTTCTATAAACATGTTACAGGTTTTACGCAGCAGAGACACTATTAGCCCTAGAATATCTCCACATGATGGGCATTGTCTACCGAGACCTAAAACCAGAAAATGTGCTTGTTAGAGAAGATGGTCACATAATGCTTACAGATTTCGACCTATCTCTCAAATGCGATGTCGTCCCAAAGCTCATTAGGCGCAAACCCGACCCAACCCCGCCATCTGAACCGAACGACAACATTCAAAAATGCTCAACACCTTCCTGTGCCATACCTATCCAACCCGTGCTCTCTTGCCTTTTATCATCCTCACTCAAGAAAATCAAACCTAATAATCACACTTCAACAACAACAATCACAGCACAAGCTGATGCTGAAGACAACTATGATACAGAAATGGTGGCGGAACCCATCACCGCCCGCTCCAAGTCCTTCGTTGGGACCCACGAGTACCTGGCGCCGGAGGTGATCTCAGGGCAAGGCCATGGGAGTGCAGTGGACTGGTGGACTTTTGGGGTATTCTTGTATGAGCTCTTGTATGGGAAAACACCCTTTAAAGGAGAGAACAACGAGAAGACTCTCATTAACATATTGAAGCAGCCACTGAGTTTCCCAAGAATAGGTGTTAGTAGCAGTAAAGAGTATGAAGAGATGGTGAGAGTTCAAGACCTGATTAGCAGGCTTTTGGTGAAGAATCCAAAGAAGAGGATTGGGAGCTCAAAGGGTTCTGTGGAGATCAAGAGGCATGAGCTCTTCAAGGGTGTGAATTGGGCTCTGATTAGGTCAGTGAGGCCTCCTGAGGTTCCCAGTGATCTGCAGAAGGTTAGGACTAGAGCTGTGGTGCCTAAGTTAAGCAAGAAAGAGAGAGATGCACCATATCAGATCCCTCAGCATTTTGACTACTTTTAAGTGTAAATAAATAGTAGATTAACTGGAAAGCAAATAGTATCATGTTTGACACAACAAAGAAAAATCTGTTTTCCTATGTTTTTCCTTAGCTAATGACAAATATTTGGATAATGTATGACTAGTTTTGATATTATTTATGTCAGATTACTACATGCTTATATCTTATTTTGCTTCTTTCTCTTTCTCCACTCACATGGACACAAGACACTCAGTAGTAATCCAAAATTTTTAGAGATCTCAAACTAAATATCAAATTGAGATCTTACCTTACTATGCCTTTGACAAAATGTGCCTTCGACAAAAAATTTTCTTTTAGATTTCGTTGGTTAGAAATGAGATTATGAATTTGAATTTTATCAACAGTAGGGTTGGATGTCCAATAATCTTAGGCTATTGTCACTTTATTTTGGTGAGATTGAGATCAAACTATGATTCAATCCATTTTGAAGAAGTTGCTAACAATTTCCGTGTTTGTGGATCCATCTCCAGACCCCTCTTTTCCGGCTCTCAGCAGATGAAGACTCTTGTGATCACGCTCATAAAGAATTTTCAAACCGTGATCACCTCCTACCTTTTACTATGCAAAAATAAATGATTATTTACATGGAGATATCTAAATTATTAAAAAAAAACATTATTTTGGCTCCTTCAATTATAAAAACGTATTATTAAATTTCATAAACTATTGAAAAGTATCACTTTTATTTTTAAATTATAAAAATGTACAAATAATTTTTTTAAACTATAAAAACGTATCAATTGAATTACCTAATAAAAAGAGAACTCAAAAGTGAAACACGTTAATAATTTAATCTTCATATAAATAATTCTAAATAAAATAAAAAACATTATCGCCACCACATTCGAAGATGTCATGCGATCTGATCACTACTTCGATCATAGTGATGCAACTTTTGAAATAAACAGTCCCTTCCACGTTGGAATAACTAGACTCTTTTTTTTTGAAATAACTAGACTCTTTTGAAATAACTTTTGAAATAACTAGACTCTTTTTTTTTTTTTTTTTGAAAAATAAATAATCAATAAATAAAAAACAGAGCTTGACCCCCAGTAAAAAATCAAGTTGTCATTTTTTAATTGTTTCAATTTAAATTTTTATCAATTCCAACAGGAATGATTTAGATAAATTAATCACTTTTTGTCAACAACGTTGGACGACAATTGTGGCTATGAACTAAAAAGGAATGCGAGAAATAACAGTGAGTTGAAGAAAGGGAGGAGTAAAAATAGATAAAGCAATAACCGTGAGTTAGGGAAAAGGTCGCAATATTAGGTATCATGAAAAATCTTTCATAAAAATAATTATGAAAATTTTGTGATCTTTGGATTACACTTAGAATAAATTACCACACACTAATTAAGATAATCCAAAGATCATAAATCTTTCATGAAAAAAATTTCATGATCCTTAACTTTTCTTGGGAACATGAGGGGTATTGATAGACGACAGAAAGGCTTAGTTTGACATAATTCAAAAAAGTCAAAAAGTCACTATCTTATTTAAGTCACATCATTTTATCTAAATTACATGATCTCTCTATCACATCACTTCAAACTCAACTCATATTTTATTTTATTTTTTTGTAAAAAATAAAAAACTGCACTTATTTAGATCATCTCAAACAACCCCATATGGGAGGTGGCTGTCAACGGTAATAAAGATAGCAAAAAAAAAAAAAAGTCATAATTAGAATTAATACTATCTTTAAAGATCAGAATTTAAATTGAAATAATTGACAAGTGAAAATTTAATGTGTTAAGGAGGTTTGGGTTTTTTTGTTTCCCTTTTCTTTTTTTTTTCTTTTTTTTTTTATCCTCGTTTTTTTTTTATTATGTTACAAATATCGACTAATGATATTACTATATATGTAGAAAACTTATTCAAAAAAATAAATTTACAAATTATAATCATTTTAAATATGGGTCACATCTCACGAGTTTTTTTAATCTACACCTTACATCTCAAATTTAATGTAATTAATTGAAACAAAAATTCACAATAAATAGCAATTTTCTGGAAATGGAAAAGCACTAAATTGCTTGTTATGATGGATTTGATCGTAGTCTTTATTTTTATTTTATTTTATTTTTATTATTTTTTTGAGCGAATTTGATCGTAGTCTGAGTTTCTGAAGTTTGAATACGTGGAAAGGAGGGGGGCAGACCATAATTGTTCCCATGTTTTTCTCATGAGAACTCATGAGCTCATGTGATCACCATTATTACCTTCTCAATTATGGATCTAAGAAAAAGAAATATTATATATATAAAAAAAATTACTATTTATTTCTTTTTGTCAATTTCTCTCTACTTTTTTTTTTTTTTTCATCCGGGTACTTTCGTATCCACGCATTCATATGTACTTTTACTGATTAAAGAACAAAAAATAAACTCATCATGATTTCCTTGCTTTTTTTCAGCTTTTATTTTATTATTTTTATTTATTTTTCACTGTTTGTGGCATTGTTAATTCTTCTGTCTTGAGCTGTTTTTCTCATTTTAATAGTCCAGTTGATATTTGAAGACACATGGCTAATACTTGCACAACAGGACACTTGACAACTTACACTCATTTATATGCAATAATATATAAGAGATTGGTGATTTATTAATATTGAATAGCGATGATGGTATTAGGAGTATCGAGCCATACAAATTAAAAGTTGAACATTGTTGTTGAATAAAAAAAGTAGTAATAGTCAAATCGATAGCATCGATTGCAAACTGATCATATCAATGTAAATGAATTATAAACTTGCAAAAAGTTCGAAAAATAGAACCATCCAATTTGATTCAATCTCAATAATCACTATAAGAAATGTCATTTTTTATTATTAAAAAATTAGTCATCAAAAGTCCAATATTTAGTCGCTGAAATGATTTAGTGACTAAAATATTTTGTCGCCAAAATCATCGCTTATACCCTGTCGGCGATAGTATTGGCGACTAAACTTTGTTTGGTCGCCGAATGTGACTATATTTCGCTACTAAATTATGTTTAGTCGGCAAATGTTATGTTTCCGCCACTAAAATTTTAGTCGCCAAATGAGGCTTTTTGGCTACTAAGTTATTGTAGCCGGGGAAGGTGTCACCTTTAGCTACTAAATAATTAGTCGCCGAAAGTACACATTTGGCTACGAAACATTATTTAGTCGGCAAAAGGTGCATTCCGTGACTAAAAATTTAGTGGCCAATAGTTTCTTTCTCTCATTCTCAATTGTTTTAGCTACTAATTATTTGGTCGCCAAAACTTTTTGGGTTATGTTTTGCTACTAAATTATTAGTCATCAAAACATTTGATTACGTATTTGGCTACCAAAATATTTGGTAGCCAAATGCTTTAACGTGTTTTTTTTTTTTAAAAAAAATAAAAATTTCTAAACAACCTGTATCCATTATGAATACAACTTATACCCTGTATAAACAATATAATCCATCAACACTAAATATGTTATCAAGCATTCAACAATGTGCACACATTTTAGCTCCAACCATTCAAAACATTAATATTGAACGTCCAATTCTATATATAATACAAATTCCATACGAACATTTTAGCTCCAACCATCCAAAACATTAATATTGAACGTCTTTCTATATATAATACAAATTCCATACGAACCAAGTCTAATCCAACGTCAATAATTTCATTTCATACATAATACAGGACTAACCAAATTAAGTAACAAAAAGGACATATGTACCACAACCTAAATTAGCATATATGCTAATTTCTACCATGCTAAATTAGCTTATAGTTACCACACCAATGGTATTTCTTCATTTGCAGCCTGTTCATAAGGCTTCCCATTATCCCAAGTTTCAAGAGCCGCAATATGATCACTGTGCTTCTCAAGCAAATCAGTAAACCGCAACATTATTCGTGATCTTTCCTGAAAAAGTTTAACAACAAAGATTACATTACGTAACTCATATTTCAAAATTGTTTGAAGTTAAAATAAGAATAAAGAAGGAAACAAAGGAAAGAAAGTACAAAGCAAATGATCAATGTGTGATATTCTTACATAAGCAGTCATCTTTGGCCATGGTCCTTGGTCGAATGCTTTGCGAGCCGCAAACACTGCTTGGTTGTCATCTTCAGCCTCACCTTCAGCGACATGAGCAATCACATCTCCTGTCCTGGGATCCAGGGTTGGAAATTTTTTCCCTATAGTCATACAATTTGCAAAAATTCAGTTTCACTACACATTCTTGAATTGAAGGAACATCAAGATAGAAACTTGAAAGCCTACAATATATTGTAAAAGGTATCATAATCGAAATATCTACTTAGTTTTTTGAATCAAAGGATGAAAACACACCTGATGCTGAATTCACGAATTGTTCATTGATGAGAAGCTGGGTATAATCTATTTGAACAGGCGGTGTGATTGGTACCTCAAATGCAACAGCGGTACTAAACCTATTAATGCCTCTGCCCCAGTTAGAGTACCGACCTGAAATTTGATCTTTTCACATCCAGGAAAGTCCTCATTCTCTTATGTCTTAGCCTTTTTGTGTTTTTTTTTTCATTGCTTCTAAACGCCTACATATAATTAAAGTTAAGTCATCAAAATGTTTAAAGGTGAACTGCATTGGAAGAGAATAAGCACCAAAAAATAAACTTTGCACAAAAAAAAAAGTCAATAAGTGACCACAATAAGTACTGAAACGTTCTCAACCAATTGGTTTAACAACTACAATGAATGAAATAAAGTGACCACAATATGTCCTCTTCTCATTCAACAACCGACCAGAACAAATAATGATACATAAATGCCTGGTAGATTTCACATCAAATTCACAAATAATGATACATCCCGTGTGTTTATCATAATAGCAAAAACGTTTAAGCTTGTTATTTGCCAAGGGTTTCACATGGAAATGTTTTCTTCCAATGTCAACAATAATTCATCTTACCCTCTATATGGCAAACACTACACAATGACATTCTCAAGTCAAGTTATTCCCCAAACTTTGACTGGTTATAGATTGTTATTTCAGGGATACCATAACATTAATCTTCATTCCTGGATAATATGTGATCTTTATGAACTACTTTCACTGATCATAGACTGTTATCTCCTTTTAAAACGTTACCAGTATGCATTAATATTTATGAATTTGAAGCCATGGCACGCTAT